TTCACACTAAACGTGCCTCCCAATAGGATTTTTCTAACCCATTCAATCCATTGTAGATGAAACTCTCTCATTTTGTGGCAATCCAACAACAATTCCCAGTTTACTTTGTCGTATCCTTCTCAAAGTCTAGTTTCAGAACAATCCTAGTTTTTTTCCTAGCATAAGTATGATGGAGAATTTCATATAGGGGAATAATCCCATCCATGATATCTCATTTCTTAATAAAAGCATTCCGGTGTCTACTGAACAAGATATCAACAAAAGGTTCCAGCCTAATAGTAAGCACCATGGTAATCAGCTTATAGATGCACCGTAGTAAACATATCGGGCAAAATTGTTGAATTTTATTTGCACCAACAACTTTAGGAAGCAGAGTAATAATCACATAGTTCAAGCATTGCACATCTAGTTTATTATCAGGGAACCATTCAAATAAAAGCATCACCTCACCCTTAACAATCTCCCAACAATAATATTGGAAAAAATCAATAGGGATGTTATCTAGGCCTGGTGCTTTGCTTGGTTTCATAGAGAAGAGAGCATTTTTATCTCAGTTTCAGAAAAGGGTCTAGTAAGGATAAAGTTATCAATATTTGATAACTTCTCATTTGGTTCCCACATTTTATCCCCCAACATGTAAAGATTCCCAGATGCAGGCCCAAAAAGGTCCTTATAGAATTATGTGGCATGTTTCAATAAATTTTTGGTCCCCTCTATCACCTCATCACCACAACTAAGAGAGAATATGGTGTTCCTCTGTCTTCTCCCATTCACTATTCTATGAAAATAATCAGTATTTCTATCCCCTTTAAACAACCAACTTTCATGAGATTTTTGTAACCAAGTAATTTCCTCTTCCACCCGGAGGTTATAGAGTTCCACCAAAATTTCAACTTTCTTACAATATAATTTAGGAGATAGTACATTTGTTTCTTCTAGTCTCTCTAGATGTTCTAGTTCCTCTCTAAGTTCTCTCCTCCTTTTTCTAGATTTTCCAAAAAATGTTAGATCCCCATCCTTTGAAAAACTTCTAAAATCTCTTCAGTTTAATGTTCAATATATCAAAGGGATCATTTGATTTAATAGGTTTCATCCACACCTTAGCAACTACAGGATTCTTGAGCCAATTAAGGCGAAATCTAAATTCTCTTTTCTGTACTGGAGTAGGAATATAATCTTCAGTATTCAAGATCAGAGGGTAGTGATCTGAAATTTCTTTAACCAGTCTTCTAACAAAAGTCAAAGGAAATTGGCTCTCCCAAGAACTGGACATAAGTATTTTGTCCAACTTTTCAAGGGTAGAGTTTTGCTGATTATTAGATCAAGTGTATAGATCACCATTCATGTCAACTTTCCTTAGACAAAAAGCATTAATGATGGAGTTAAAGAGATGAGAAGAGTGACTTGTCCTAGTTTTCTTGTTTTCTCACTAGCATATCTAAGTATATTGAAATCACCTCCCACAATATAAGGGCATGTAATATTGTTACACATGTTAGAGAGCTCAGTCAAAAACTCCACTTTATGATCCTCATGTGCAGATCCATAGACTACAAGAATACAATAGTTCAATTTTTTACTTTTATCCCACAACTCAAGTTTCATAATATATTTTCCTACCTTGCAGGATCTAATATAAAAAATATCCTTTTTAGAACCACACAAAATTCCCCCAGACTTGCCCACTGGAGGAATCCAATTCCAACAAAAACATTCTCCTGTATCAATTTTCCTCAAGAAATTAGAGGGAAAATCCTTCTTCGTTGTTTCCTGGATACCAATAAAGTCTAAGTAATAATCTCTAATAAAGTCAGACAAGCAAGTTGCCATACCCTTCTTCCCCAAATCTCTACAATTCCAGAAGAGACTAATCATTTTTTCTTGCATTTGGGGGAGTGGTTTTTGTTGCTAGGTTTACCAAGAGGCATGGTCGAACCAGCATCAAAACCCACTTTGTTCTTCTGACTTCTAGTCACATGCTTGGATATTACTACATTTACCTTCTTTTTTCCTTCCTTCTAGATCTTACTATAGTAAACTCATCATCATCAATCTCACCATCTCTCATCCATTCTGTGTTTAAGGGAGATTTATCCCCAACAGTATTGGTAATAAAAAGAATTTTATCATGTTGTTTCTCTACATTCTCGGTTTTTTAGCTATATTAGCTCTAGATTTTCCAGTTCCCTAATCACATCAACCACAATAAAGTTGTTGTTAGGGATATCAACCCCCATCATCAAAGCAGTAGATACAATTTCTAAGTTGGAAAGAATCTCAAAAGAATTGGAATTAGGGGTTTTTTCATTACCTTGAAGATTTCTCTTCTTAGTCATTTTTTCAGCCCGAACTCCCATGTGTTCAATGTTACCACTAGATGTCCTCTGGCTCAGCCTGATCTGCACTTCTTCCACCACAGGTGGAGTAGGTATAACTTCCACATTCTCCTCCCTAGATGTATCAGGAGATTGTACAAAGTACAATGGTGGTACTTGCTAGCATGTTACGTCATTAGGAGGTAATTCAGTGACCATAGGTTGTCCCATCACTACATCCAGATAGGATGTAGCTTTTTAGACAAATGAAACATTGGGTATAATCTGCATAGAGTTCACCACAATTCTTTCATATGGCAGAGTTTCAGGGGACCCCACTCCCTCCATCTGATCTCTTGTGTTTTCAGCAACTATAGTATCAATAAGCAGCTCATTATCAATCTCCTCACTTTCTTCATCAGAGAAATTCTCTTCATTGTCCCCTTGTTTTTTATCAGCCTCACTTTTCTCTTCCAAGGTTTCCACTACAACATGCATACTCACTTTACTCCCAATTGAATTGGGTGGAGCAGAAAAGTCCCCCAAAGTGGAGGGGGGACCCCCCTGCCCATCATTTTGTGTTTTTTCAGCAATTCTGGCTCTTTTTGGGTGACACCCCCTGTCAGCCTCCTGAGACACAAGCACTTTTTATTTTGGGGGATTTTTCACAATAATTTTGTCCACCGAATAGAAGAAATCATAGAAGTGGTCTCCCAGCACCCCCTCAACCTTAGCTGGGATATCTTCAGCATCTCTACATCCCAGTTTAATTCTGACCGACTCGGGTCTGTTAACAGTAGTTTTATCAATGTCTAATATGACACCCACCAAAGACCCAACATATGCAATATTTCTTTCATGTCTTTTATCCAGAGGGATGTTGCTAACATTGGCCCAAGCAATGTTAAGTACACCCTTGGCACCCACAAATTCAGACCACTTTTTAAGACTCACCACAGCTCCGCAACTTTTAATGTTCATAGTTTCAGCAAAACAAGCCTTGTCAACATCCCTGGGTGAAGGAAATCTCATGACAAAAGTATTAAGCCCAATCGATCTAGCCGAACATTTCCAATTTGTGTTAATGTAAGCATTAAAGAATTCCTTTAACTGTTTGCCACTAGCTTGCCCCTCAATCACAGTGATCACAATAAATTTGTCCCTATCAGTGTTCTGGTTAGGTGTACTAGAATCATGGATATAGAAAATTTCTTTCCCCTTAGCTTGAAATCCACACATCGGAGCCACACATTCCCAAGGAAGAACAATATTGCAGATTGGAACAAGATGCCCATTTAGACCACATCTACCACAAACAGCATGAGGACAGCACATGGGTATATGCCCTGGTTCTTTGCAAGTAACGCAAACCTCAGCGCCACCCACTAGTGGGGGGCATTCCTTCTTCCTAGAATCCGTTGACGACGATCTTGTTGCGGGCGTGCATCCTGTTGGAGACAAAGATCTTGTTGCTGACGCTGGCCAGAATTCCCCGCGGTCGCCTTGCCTTGGTTGTTGTCGCCCCACCTTTCGACCCGACGGCCGTCGCTCCGCGTCTCCATGGCCGCGGCCTCCCACCTTGCCCAATCTGACAGCCCACGACCATGGTCCATGTTGGTGTAGACCTGGCCGCCCTCCTTGATGTTGCGCGTCCACACCATGTTGCGGCCGCCTCCGACACCACGGCCGGCCCGCCCCGCCCCAAAGCTATCCAGGCGATGGCCGCGGTTCTCCGCTCCTCGATCTGCCATACCTGCTGCGGATGGACTCGCGCTTGGTGGAGATGCAACGACCTGAGCGAAAGATCTATGGTCTCCCCCCACTTTCCCCTCTAACCAGCCGAACGAGGGAGAAACCCTAGGCGTAGAAACCCTAGGTGCCTCCCAGAAGTGGAGAAGAAGAAGGTCGAGATCTGGAATGGAATGCGGGAAGGGGGGGGCGAGGGAGGATTTATCCCCTCCGTAACCCTAGCAGCGTGCTCAGTAGCACGCGGACCCACCTGGACCGGGCTGGCTCCACCACCTGGTCCCGCCATGGCGCGTGTCCTGGGTGCAGGCCCGAGTACTCCAGGATCGGAAGTCCTCTGCGGTACACGGGACGAGCTGAGCGGTACACGAACGCGCCCCACGACCACCGTCTCCGATGCATCGGCGTCAACCCGCGTCGCCGGCGGCGAAGATCGGCGGCCATGGTCGGCGTCGGGGGAGGGAAAGGAGAGCGATGTCAGGAAAGCCATAAGGTCGATTCTCAAGTCCCCGATCTTTTTTGACCTCGTTGTTCTAAAAAAAAAGATCTTTTGACCTCGCCGCGCGCATGCATGTTCGGCCGTAGAAGAGGCCGAGCGTACGTGCGTGTGGAACAACGGGAGCGTCACCACGGTCGCGCCGTTCTCGGAGAAGCGGTGCACGAAGCGGAAGTTGTGAACGTTCCCAGATATATATGTGACTCTTAAAAACAATGTCAGAAAACATTGTATACGTCTATAGCCGCGTTGTCATGTCCACGTTGTATACATATTAGCCCTAGTCTCACGGTTGCTGGCTAGGTTATAGCTGAGTTTGTTGGAAATTAGTTACTCTTTGCATGATTGTGATACTATTGTAATCGATCCATAGATCGCGATATATATGCGTGCTCCATCTCGAAAAACTGATCCACAAATCCCATCCTTGCCGAACTTCGATCATGGAGCGAAACATCACCGTCCTCCTATCCCTTCTTCTCTGCCTCCTCCTTTCGTGCCATGTATCCGCAGCCGGCGCTACCGCCAAGCGGCGGCACTCGTCGCCGCTGTCGCGTCCCCATCGTGTGATCACGGCGGAGGCGGCCCCGGCCACGGAGGTGCCGGCGATGGTGCAGTACGAGACGCGGTACCACACACAGCGGCTGGACCACTTCAACGCGGCGCCGGCGAGCTACCGCACGTTCCCCCAGCGCTACCTGGTGAACGGCACGTACTGGGGCGGCAAGACGGCGCCGGTGTTCGTGTACGCCGGTAACGAGGGCAACATCGAGCTCTTCACCAACAACACCGGCTTCATGTGGGAGCTCGCGCCTCGCTTCCGCGCCATGCTCGTCTTCATCGAGGTAAATCTTACATCCATCGACGTCGATGATCTTCTTGTTGCCTTGTTGGGAGTATAAGATTGAGATGCTGCGTCCCGCGTGCATGATTGTTGATGTGTTTTTCTTGATGTGTCTGCAATGCATGCAGCATCGGTACTACGGGCGATCGGTGCCGTTCGGGAGCGAGGAGGCAGCATTCAGGAACACGAGCACGGCGGGGTACCTGACGACGACGCAGGCTGTCGCCGACTTCGCCACGCTCGTCCAAAGCCTCAAGGCCAACCTCAGCGCACCGACCGCCCCCGTCGTCGTCTTTGGTGGCTCCTACGGCGGCAGTAAGTACTAATTGATCATCTCCATTCACCAAGTACCGTGCATGTGCATGTGCATGTGCATGCATGACCCTAAAGCCTCAAGGATATCGTAGTTTGTTATTTTTTCGAACAGAAAGGATTTTAGTTTGTTACTTGACCGTTATTTTCGCAAAGACCTTTTTTTCTTTAATTGTTTGTACCTCGAAAATATTCGATCGCATCCATAGGAGGAAAAAAAGGTGGTTGCTGTGTCAATGATCGCCTCATGAATTTTTTTACAAAATTGCACATGCATTCGTGGCACTGAGCTGTTTGGATGAACAGTGCTGGCAGCGTGGATGAGGATGAAGTACCCGCACGTGGTTATTGGGGCCGTCGCGTCGTCGGCACCAATCCTCAGCTTCTACGGCATGGCCGATCCCTACGCCTTCTATGACATCATCTCCAACGATTTCAAGGTGCCTTTGCATGATTATGACACCTGCAACTCATAAGTTCAGGATCGATATATTTACATATGATGACTCTAGTAGCGCTCATTGGTATTTCGTTAGTAACATTATACATATATGATCATTATGCCTGTATTAGAGTGAAAGCAAGAATTGCCACGACGTACTCATGAACTCGTGGAAGGAGCTGGACAAGGCGCTGTCCAATGACGCCGGCCGGGCGCAGCTCAACAGTACGTTCAAAATGTGCCGGTACGTACGTGTTGCATACATGCTCTCCTAGAGACGATGATCATCGTTAGTTCCTTCGAACGATCGATTGATGAATCTATCTGTACACGCATGCATGCAGAGGTAGTACAGTGGAGGCGATACCGGACTTGCTCGACACCGCCATCGTCTACTCCGCCATGACGGACTACCCGACGGAGTCCGGCTTCCTCACCCACCTCCCGGCCTATCCCGTCAAAGAGGTTCGTAGTTATATATCATATCTCTGTCTCTCTTCAACTTTTCATGGCGTACGTTTTGGATTGATTGATTTGGTCTTCCTCAATCAGATGTGCCGCGCGATCGACAACCCAAAGTCGGGCAAGGACACCTTCTCGAGGATCAATGAAGCCTTGATGGTCTACTACAACTACACCGGCAACGCGCCTTGCCTTGGCGACGCCACCGAGCATGACCCTTACGGCATGTTCGACGGCTGGGACTTTCAGGCGTGCACGGAGATGATCCTCATGAGCTACGGCGTCCGCAACGGCAGCGTTCTGCCGCCGGAGCCCTTCAACTTCACCAAGCTCCTCGACGGCTGTCGCGCCTCCACCGGCCTGCCGCCGCGGCCATACTGGATCCCCACAGAGTTCGGAGGATTCGTAAGTACTATATTTGTTTTTTTTAGAATAACAGCTTGTCTTGGGCTGGGTTCTCTTCAAATTGGGCTTAATAAAGGCAGATTTTGGGCTGAAAATACATGGGCCGGATTCAGTTACTACCTTTGTTTTTTCCCTAAAAAAAACTACTTTTTGTTTCAGGATATTGCAAATGTTTTGAAGAGGTCAGCTAGCAACATCATCTTCTTCAACGGGCTCCGAGATCCATGGAGCAGTGGCGGGTAATTGAAATATTCAATATAGAATGTGTAGAGATGAATTTCGGTAACTGAATTTATCATAGTTGCCCCATGTTAAAACCTTGACCATTTATATTTATTGGACATATTGCGCAGCGTACTGAAGGACATCTCAAGAAGCATCATGGCACTGGTTGAGCCAAAAGGTTTGTCATCTTAGTACAAACTAATTTAAGTCTTCATTTTCTAATGGAGTGAACATAGTAGAAATTGTTTTTTTTAACTTTTATCTTTTATTATCATCAAATTGTTTTATCTTCTGCTAAGGCTGTTGGAAATGTTGGTCAGGTTCACACCACGTAGACTTGAGATTCTCCAGCAAGGACGACCCTGATTGGCTTAAGCAGGTGCGGGAAAAGGAGACGAGAATCATAGGGCATTGGCTCAATCAATACTACAAAGATGAAGCCATAAAGTCCTAGGTTAAATGCATGCTTTGTGTAGGAAGGGAATTTATGTTGTGTTCTTCCCTTTTTGTTCATTCTATTTGTTTTAGGCTATTATTAAGAACACAAAGAAATAACAGATTTAGATCAGCTCTCCAAGCACATATATCCCAGCTTATATTGGAATAACAAGAGGAACTTACACGTTGGCCACAATTCTGTGTATGCGTATGTCCCACGTGATGAGCTACGCACCAAAGAGATTGAAGTTCCGGTAAGGTCTCTTTAAAAAATATGATATGAATTTTTATTACCTGCTGGAGAACCAACTTGTGGTTGATGATTAGGAGGGCAGTAGTACCCTTGACCCACTAGGGATCAAACTCCAGGTTTGATGCTTTGGTGTCTTATAAAGGCGTGATATTCTTTCAGTCGGAACCTGTGTTTCTATCGATAGCGACGTATCTGTCATGACTTTATCAATTTTAGGACTCATCAGTTCGGTCTTTCTGAGATGCGCATAGAGATAGGGTGTGCGTTCAGTGAGATGAGTTCAATTACACCTATTTTCAATTGAGCTTTTATTTGAACAGATGCTAGCACCGCGGCTCATTGTTGTGTGATGCAGGCGAGCCAGAGTAGACATAGAAGTTTATGGCTAAACTACATCCGTCCCTTCCTTGGTGATGTACTTCAGCGTGATTGCAATCCTATTGTTTAATCAATAAACCCTTTGAGTCGCAAAGAAAAGGTAAGTTGTGGGTACATGCATTCATAGAGGTGAGTATATATACTTGTTAATGAATATTGTGTTTCTCAAAAAAAAAAACTACAACATGGTATGTGTTGCTCATTCGAAGCGAGTCAGAAGTGGGTCGAGGCCCAGGTAAGCGGCGATCCGGGAAGGTTTTCACCGGTTTTGGGAAGATTCCAACCGGTTTTTGTTTCTTTTCTCTGTTTATTTGTTGGTTTTTTGGATGTTTTGGTGTTTTTTTAAATAAAAAAAATTGTGCCTCTTTCTTTTTTATGTTTTTTTTATAAAATTGATAAAATTGTTTTGATCCATGAACATTTTCAGAATTCAGGTAGTTTTCTTGAATTTGTGATTTTAAATTTGTGAGCATTTTTTGAATTCCCGGACCATTTTATTAGATTTGTGAACCATTTTTTAAAATTCGCAAACACTTTTTAAAATCCTTGAAGAATTTTTGAAATTTGTGAAAATTTCTAGAATCCCGGAAATTTTGTGAAAAATCACGAAGTTTCTCTAAATTTGTGAACAATTTTTGAAATCCATGAACTCTTTTGTGTGCGTGAGCTATTTTGGAATTCATGGACTTTTATTGAATTTGTGTTGTGAATTGATTTACATTTTTTTATTTCTCAATCGATTTTTAAGACTCGAGAACATTTATTGAATTTGCTAAGTATTTAAAATACAAGAACATTTCTGAATTTGTGAATATGGAGCAATTTTTGTATTTATAAAAAATATATTCATGGACTTTCCAGATTCATGGGGTTTTTTAATTCAAGAACTTCTTTAAATTCATGAGAATTTTCAAAATTTTAAATTCATGAAGAAAGCAGAAGAAAAAGTTCAAATGTGTTTTGGGGGTGCAGGGGGGAGGCACAAAAAGTGAATGAAGGTGACTGCAACAGCTAGCGAGCGAGCGAGCGAGGTGCCCTAGTGGGGCCGGCCCACCATGCTAGCATTTGAACGAGTCTGTAGACGATCGCTGCATATGCTTCGCTAGGAAAATCCTATTGGACGCTCGTTGCGTCGACTTGTCGAGGCTTCGCACAGAGAGCTAGCGATAGCGATCAAGATGGGCCGGCCCAGTTAGGAGATAGCGCTGGCACTGCAGTGTCCGGTTATGGGAACCTTCTGGAGGGTTCCTGAACGGTTTTGGGAACCTTCTAGAAGGTTTTTGAACCGGGTTTTCACTGGTTTTTTCGGTTTGCTTCTTCTTTGTTGTTTTTCCTGTTTTTTTTTTCTTTTTCTTTCTTCGTTTTTCTTTTTTTATTTCATCTTTCAATTCCTTTTTGTTTTCTTTTTGTTCACATTTCAAATTATGTTTGGGAGTTTCAAAAAATCTTCCCATTTCAAATTTGCGCTTCCAAATTTGTTCTTCATTTCAAAATTTGTTCTCAACATTCAAAAATTGTTCGTGCTTTAAAAATTGTTCGCGCTTTGAAATTTGTTCTCCATTTCAAAATTTGTTCTCAACATTCAAAAATTGCTCGTGCTTTAAAAAATTGTTCGCACTTCTAAATTTGTTCTCCATTTCAAAATTTGTTCTCAACATTCAAAAACTGTTCGTGCGTTCAAAAATTGTTCGATCTTCCAAATTTGTTCTCCATTTCAAAATTTGCTCTCAACATTTAAAAAAATTTCGTGCTTTCATAAATTGTTCGAGCTTCCAAATTTGTTCTCAATTTCAAAATTTGCTCTCAACATTCAAAAATTGTTCATGCTTTAAAAAATTGTTCGCATCGTTTCAAAAACTGTTCACCTTTTAATGTTTTATTCACAAAACAAAAAATATTTTGTTTCAAAAAAAAGTTCCCATTTCCAAAATTTGTTCACAAATACAAAAACTGTTCACATGTTTAAATTTTGATTGCAAATGCAAAAATGTATGGGAATTTCATAAAAATGTTCCAAATGTTGTTCACAAATTCAAAGCTGTTCAGGAATTTCGAAAATTCTTCATGTTATTCAAATTCGTATTTAGTTTTTTGTTCCATTTTTAACTTTTTTGAGTGTCCCAAATAATGTTTTCGTTTCGAAAAGTATTTCCTTTAAAAAAATCTTGTTTGGCATTTTGTTTTAATGTTTTAATCTAGCACGTATTGTAGTTCATATACATCGGGCTGCCACTTTACACAGTAAATCTTGCCTGGCGTAGTGGCTAGCGCATAGTGGGCGCATGTAGAGATCACGGGTTCGATTCCAGAACTGGTGCCTTTTTGGCATCTTTTTCATTCAGCTAAGGACAGCGAATGAGCCGGCCCACGTGAACCGCATCCTGTGCAAAACGGCGAATTCTTGCCGCAATAAGCGGCATATAGGAGGTCCCGCTTCGCTACCCGTTGGTAGAAAGTACTCCAACATAAACATGCAAGAGATTTGGGCATTTCCTATAGCTGTTTCCGCAAACCGGCGTCTGCAGCGACGCTAGCTGGGCTCGGCCCAATTACCAGTTCTTCCCCCTATTTTGAAATCGAAGGAAATTGCGCTTAGTCAGGAATCGAACCAAAGACCTCTCCGTCGATAGCTGACTCGACGGACCACTACGCCAACGCCTGACTCATGAATCAAAACCTCCTTTCTATCTTTTAATACATACAGGAAATTTCCTCTATGTTTTCTGTGTTTTTTTTCCTTTCTTTTTTGTTTTTTGTTTTCTTTTTTTCTTAAATGCGCGAAATGTTTACAAATAGATGATATTTTATTTTTTAATTCGTGAACTTTTTTGTTAAATCTGATGAACTTTTTTCCAAATCCGATGAACTTTTTGTAAATTTGAAGAACTCTTTTTCCAAACTCGATGAACTATTTTCTAAATTCGATGAACACTTTTCAAATCCGATGAACTTTTTTCAAATCTGATGAACTTGTTTCAAATTCAATGAACTTTTTTCCAAATCCAATGAATTTTTTTCAAATTCGATGAACTTTTTTTCCAAATACTATGAACTTTTTTCAAATCTGATGAACTTTTTTCTAAATCCGATGAACTTTTTTCAAATTTGATGAACTTTTTTCATATTCAATGAACACTTTTCCAAACTTGATGAACTATTTTCCAAATTCGATGAACTTTTTTCAAATTTGATGAACTTTTTTCAAATTTGATAAACTTTTTCCAAATCCGATGAACTTTTTTCAAATCCGATGGAATTTTCTTGAAAAATTAGTAACTTTTTTTTTCAATTTCGATGAATGTTTTTCAAATTGGATGAACTATTTTCAAGTTGATGAACATTAAATGAAAATCCATTAACTTTTTTTCAATTTTGATGAACGTTTTTCAAAACCAATAAAAGTTTTTTCAAATTTGATGAACCTTATTTGGTAATATGTGAACATGTTTTCAAATAATTAGAAAATAAAACACTACAGTGTAATGCGTAATAAATTGCGCGTCTAGTTCCATTCTTTAAAAACATCGCGCTGTGAATGTTCACAAGCAGGAAGTTGGTCCAGTGGTTAGCGTCTTCTTATAGAAGCGCTAGGTCGCGAGTTCGAATCCCAGACGAGAGGCATTTTTGGCGATCTTTTTCCGCGTTGCGTCTTGCGCGATCGTGGGCCGGCCCATCCAGCGGCTGTTGCAGGCACCAGTTCTCTTCGACGGCGCTGAAGGCGCGCAATAGGAGCTCCCGAGATTTGTGCGTCACTGCATTGTACAAAGTTAACCTGGCCAAGTAAAAAGACCGACGCCGGTAGAATGTCGCAAGTAGGCAACTAAACTGGGTCAATACCCTTCTAAAAAAACTGTGTCAATACAATAGGTGCGTAGTGGCAGTCCTCTTTTTTTTCGTGGAACTCGAGAGCTTTATTCATTCAAATGAACTCCGGCATTGCCGCCATAAGGCTAGTAACCAAGAGTTCAGGGGGAGAGTCCATCCAACACTCCGTCACCTTCAATGTGCTAGCATGTCTTGCACAAAGGTGGGCCGGAACATTAGAGTGTCTCTTTACATGAAGAATATCAAAAGAAGAAAAAGTAACAGCTAGCTCTTCAATATCTAATAACGCTGGCGCTATCAGGGAGCGCGAAGAACGGTGCGAGTTCCAGAGATCCACCACATCTTTGCTATTAGTCTCCATCTATAGTCGCTCAAAGCCTCGAAGCTTTGAAAAACAATGCCTTCGCGGAGCGCCATGGCCTCCGCAACCAGCGAGTCGGTAACACCACAGACCGGCTTACACCAGGCTCCGATGAAGGCTGAAGGTGAGCGTGCAACACCTCCCAATCCGGCGAGCCTTGCCTGCATCGATATTCCTTCATCGGTGTTGATCTTGATGC